AAACAATTGAAAGTCGATATTCAAATGTTTCAAATTTAAAAAAAAAAATCACAGAAACCATTTGGAAAAAGTTTCATTCGAAAACCTCAAACCATGAAGATTCTATGAAAATTCAAAGAACCTATTGCAATAAAACGGCAATTTCATACTTTAACCCCTAATATATTAATACGGTTAATGCCAAATTCATTAATAAATATAATAGTTTAATTGTTTATATAATACTTTGAATGTTCTCTGTTACTGAGTAAAGGGACTTTCACAATAAAATGTTCTTCAGTCAAAGTCCAAAGTTAAATAATCATTTATTACTTATATACTTGAAAACATAATTTTTTAAGTAACTGCTCGTTCACAACGCGGACCTCCCTGAGAAGAACGACCAAGAAACTCAAGGGATTGCTCTTTTCAAATAAACTTAATATGTTATAATTATTAATATAAAGAACGAACACTCAGAAAAAATTCCTTGGATCCGACCGGATTCGAACCGACGTCTTCTAGCATACGGTGCCAGACGCTATACCAACTGAGCCACGGAATAAACGGAACCAGCGGACCTCACGAATTATTTATGTGCTTGTTGTATTTGGTTTTTCAACGACTTTTTAGTCGTAGCGCCATGTACGAGAAATCTATGAAAGTTTTATCACCCAGTTAGATACCTTTACAGCTACCGGCCCTGGCGAGAGATGTCGCTATTCACTGTATTTTAAATTTTTATTGAATTGATATTCAATTATTTTTTTGTGAATTTACTCCACTAGTTTGTCACAAAAGTTAATTATAACAAAACTAGTGGAGTAATTTCTCAATAATAATTGAATATCAATTCAATAAAAATTTAAAACTTAAATATGGTTTAAGACATTTATTTCTCATAACAGAATACAAACATTGACTTACAATGAGAAATACTAGATAAATAAGCTTACAATAACGAACGAGCGTCGAAATAGTTATATTTTACATCAGTGTTGGGCAAAATTTAATTGATCTGGCAATTAAAGATTGACAATTAATTAATTGTCAATTGCGAAACAGCAATTATTAATCAATTGTTAATTGCGGTTCTCGCAACTAACAATTGATCAATCGTTAATCGCAAATATCTACAATTAACAATTAATCAATTTTCAATCTTTTTAATGTTTTTGATTAACAATTAACAATTAAAATTGACAATTATGATAAATTTATAGGGCATATGGGGGTGAGTTAGGGCGTTGGTTATGGGGGCCCCGGTTGGGGAGCCCGGTTGGGGGCCCCGTTTGGGGCCCCGGTCTGGGGCCCCAGTTGGGGCCCGATTGGGGGCCCGGTTGTGGGCCCCGGTTGGGGGCCCCGGTTGAGGGCCCCGGTTGGGGGCCCCGGTTGGGGCCCCGGTTGGGGACCCCAGGTGAGGGACCCGGTTGGGGGCCCGGTTGGGGGCCCGCTTGGGGCCCGGTTGGGGCCCCCAGGTGAGGGCCCTCAACTGGGCCCCCAACCGGCCGGAATTGATTTTAATTGCAAATTTAATTGCAATTAAAATCAATTCAATTGAAATCAATTGCAATTAAAATCAATTGCAATTAAAATCAATTGCAATTAAAACCAATTGCAATTGATTTCAATTGAATTGATTTTTTAATCTGATTGAAATTTAATTGATTAACGCCCAACACTGTTTTACATATACATAACGGAACACATTCATGTTGCTATGGAATACATTTTGAATCATATTTGTGTGGAATCTAGACTCGTGTTGTATTTCCATACGTCTTTATCTAACACGTAGTCTACAATTTTGTAATGACTTTTCAATTAAAATACTTTTAATGTATGTTTTAAATTTAGGAAATGATAATCTTAATATATGCTCCGGAATCTTATTGTAAAAACGTATACAGTTCCCCATAAAAGAGTCGTTTACTTTAGTTAAACGAAATCGTGGTGCCATAAGTTCAGACTTACTTGAGTTCAGCTTGCACCGTAACGCTTCCTCACAACATTCATTTTTTGGTTCGGCTGGTAGGTGCTCGTAGTATCGGTCGGTCCTATAACTCGCGGGTTTTTCTCGTGTAGTGCACTGCGACGCGGTACTGATCGGACTTGTCACGCGCGACTGAGGTCTAAACTGAACTATTCGAAATACACTATTCGCAGCGACCGATCGTCGATTCCCTACAAAATTGTCGCAATTGTGGCACCGCATGATTAACGTAATAAAAATCCGTGATGCAACTTAAGCAATAAATGACATTGAGGTATACCGTTCTGTGAATTCGAATATTGTAAACATCATGTTTTTATTACTGTAATTAATATTTGCTGTAATGATTATTAAAAAGAAATAAATATACTTGGTTTAAATAAAACTTATATTTAAAACTCGGTTCATAATAACTATAAATACAGTTTATTTACCTTTATAATTTCAAAAATATAAAATCAGTTTCCTTAATGATAATACCAATTCTTAATTAAAGTGCAATGAAAGTAATTGTCTTTTTTTGTCCCTATAGGTGTTAGATGAACTTGTAATGGGTGGTATGGTCCTGCAGACAAACATGGCTGATATTTTGCAGCGGTTGCAGGAGCAGAATAAAATGCAGAAAGCCGAGGTAATTCCACACCTACTTTTACGCCCATTGACTTACAAATAAATGGACGACGGGTCTAATACAAAAACCACGAAAAAAATGTCCCAAGTCAACCTATTTAAACGTAGTGACATGTAAAGGGATATGAAAAAGCTAAAACGTTGAATTTAAATTGTAATGTCATCGCAGTACTGTCTAACTTTGCTTGCTTCGCTGTCAGTCGAACAAACGAAGACTAAAGCGTGAATGACGCTCTGTATACGATTTTAACGCCCTATAAGTTCGGACACTTTTTAGCGCGGACCCGACGTCCATATAATTGTAAGTCAATGTTTACGCCTGAATTATTAAATCTAACGTCTAAATAAAAGATGTCACTTCTTAATAAAAGATATGACTTTTCAGTGACATATGTGACGTTTCAATAAAAGATGTGACGTCTCAATAGTGAATGTGACGCCATGACATCGCGACCCCTATGCCCCTATCGTTCATGTTATGCTTAACTGTATTAACTCGTTTTCGTCTCACACTTGGTCACTAGGCACCTCGCTTTTGCCTTAGTCCGCAACATTGTGTCCGTTTTCTCTCCCAGGCGGGAATCTCTGCGGCCCCTGCGCGCGCCGTATCTGCCGTAAAGAGCATGAACCTGCCGCAGCAGCTGAGAGATATGAAACTGCCCGATCTGCCGCAGGCCATCAAGGTGGGTATCCACCATTACATTACCTATGTCTTAATGTTACCGCTATCTATACCTTAAGGGTGTTAATATGTAACAGATATACGTACCTTACCAGCAGATAGGTACTGGCGGTTCTGACTCACGTTAGTGGGAATGTGAACTTTATGTGGGTGTGTATAAAGGTGAGAATGGCTTGTGTTTAAATGGGCATTGTGAAGAGTCATGTCGTTTTGATTCTGAGTTTTATTTTTGTTTTCACTATTAAAAAGTTTACAGAAAGAAACAGAAAACTGAATAAAAACCATTAACATATTTATGTATCGCTGCCTTCATACGCTATCAGGCGTCGTATCTAATAATTTACGCTACTTACACTTGAAAACTATTAATTTTCAGAATTTGATAAATGAATTGACTTAAGAATTGTTTCGCAATTTTTGAGTTTATCAAAGACAGTTGTTTTTGAATTGGTTTATGTGGGTGTTTATAAGGGATAGAATGGTTGGCAAACAGGCCCCCTTATCAAAATAACTCAAAAACCAACATAAACTGAACCACGACACTCATCTGAGAAGCAAAACGTCACAACTCACCACAAAGACCCCTTCAAACAAACATAACCCATTACTAACCCTATACCCACCGATATAAAGCACACTCAACGAACGATCCACCACCCGCCAACACGGATTTACTCAGAATCAAAACAACATAACTCACCACAAAGAACCCTTCAAACACACACAAAACATTCTCACCCTTACGAACATCTCTATAAAGCTCACATTCCCACTTAACGCCTGAGCCAGAACAACAATACCTATCTACTCTTACCGATGTCCAAATGTTACCGATATCTATACCCTACCGGTATTACCAGTACCTTTTTGAGATAGTCAAAGAAAATGTTCAGGCGTTTCGTTTATTCAATGTTAATTTAGCTTTACATTGTTTGGAATTACATGTACAGTCATATACATGAGATACCTGACCCCTAACATGCCCAAACCTTTGACCAAGACCTTTTGGTTCTGAGAGCCATCTTACGTATTGAACAAAGAAAAAATTATATCAATTTCAACTTTATCGTGTAAGCAATACAGTGGAGTGTTGCTTGAAGATAACCAACATATCTCTAAAACCAATACTAAATTTCGTCATTTAACTTCCAAGTAAATTGGACGAGCGGCTTGTTGTATTGACTGCAATTTAGACAGCTTAGTGATGGCCAACTAACTATACTGCTAACTACAAATCGATGAATTAATTGAATGTATGGATTTGTTTTAATGAATCAGTTGGAATAATTGGGTTTTATATAAGGGATATGCGATTTCGCTGCTGATCACTATCAAAAAATATGTGATTCAATAGGTACTGAGTGATGATATTTAGTACACGAGATTACAATTTTTTTCTTACATGACCTCTAATAATAATAATAAAAATCTAATTTTAAATCCTCCTTCAAATCCTTATACTTTTATATATTAGATATTCGTTCGATTGTGATTAAATTATCGATTCTTTAATCGATACAAAAATTTTAATTGGATTAACCGAAGGAGTTATTTCCGTGCAGCCCTATGCAACCATAGACTATTAACAAATCTACTTATATTAGAAAAATAACCTCACTTTTGAAATAACATTTTTCAAATAAGATTTTAATATGTTATTCAAATGAACATTGATGGAAAAAGTTAATAGATATTAAGTCGACATGTTCAAAATGTACGTGAAAGTGTTACTTATTCCATTTATTGAGTGATTGCTTTAGAATTTTAACCAAACTGGTTTGTTTACCTTTCTGGCACAATGGATTTGAACAGACTTTACATTGATAGAGTGGCTCGTGCCAGTTTTAAACATTGGTTTTCCATTTACAGGACTTGAAGTTCTGACCGCTACCTCAAGGCTCAGCCACCCCAGCCGCGTTAGCCACAAACATATTCACCACCCTCTACCCACAAAACGACAAATATCAAAACCTGCAGAAGCCCACTGAAAACTTTACAAACAAATTCTTCGGTTCTGAAAGTTTGAGTACAAAATTCTCCGAAACATTTTCTGAAAATTATCAACAAACTGAAGGCGTCACATTTCCGGAATACGAGAGCCAGAAATCTGACGGGTATCAAGACTTGAGCGGAACTACAGTTGAGTATGATTATAATGAGGTTAAAAATAGAAAGAAGAAGAAGAAACGGCAGAAACGTGCAATTTAGTAAAGAAGAAAGTGCTGCCGCTGTTAGTTGAAAGGCGTTTGGCACAAAAACTCAAAACTGGTTAAATAATGTTTAAAGAAAAGAAATTAAAAAAATATCTACTTTCTGTTTTTTTTAAATGTCACATTGTCGTATGCGCTTTGAATTAACGACGGCAGGGTAAGGGTCGTCATCACTATCATTATTTATGACCAATTTATCAAAACTTAAAGCATTTTAAATTTGGCTTGTAATGCAGAATGCTTTTAAGCGCCATCTAGTTTACTTAAAGTGAACTGCTTGGGAAAAATCATGGTTTTATGGAAACCATGTTGGTTTGGTGTGGAGCTCACGTATTCTACAGTGGTAGCCTTATAAAGATTTAAGGATAACGAACAATCGCATGAGAAAGGACGAGAAATTGTATATTATAGTAGATATTTTCTAGTTTAAACGGCTTTACCATCCAACTTGAAAGACAGTCTGAATTTCGGTAAGTAAAGCCATTCCGTTTCTAAAGTTAGAAATTTATTGGATTTGACCTTCAGATTTGCTTTCAAGTTATAAGGGCTGTTAGTGAAGTGGCTGCCTGATAGGGGGATATAACAAAAGTAATTAACAAAATGTCCAATGATTTTTGGAAATAGATTTATCTATTGCCAATTTGGACAATGTTTTGTTGTAATAACGGTTTAAATTCAAGTGGTTTATAATTTTTAAATATATGATGTTATTTTTATAACATAATTATTCTATTAGAGCACAGCACAGTGGGAAAAATGAACCTATAACCAGTAATTAATTGATTTCGTCTTGTTGCATCATATCTTGTCTAATTTGGGTGCGTTACGCAAATTGCCTTGAGAACAAACAAAACAAAAGTTATTAAAATTGGCTTAAAACAAAAATTATTTACGTATTACGCGAGAAGATCGAAGTTACGAGAAATGTAAGAAATGTAACCACCTGGCAACACTACACAATAATTCCACTATCATTGTCATATTGTATGCACAACTATGAAACAGGTGAAAACAGACTGTTTTTTAACAGTTGTTGAAAAAGTCACATAACAGTACAGAGCGCATGCGCCATAATAAGAAATCCCGTACATCGAATGCAAAATAAAAACAATTCAAATTTTTTTTTTTTATTATTATTGAATACTTAACTATTGAAAGCAGATTTATAATATCAGGCAGCCTATTTCTAAAATATTATAAATCAATCCCTTCCAAACTTAAAAAATTATTAAAAAAAAATTGAGGCCATGAGAACCGTAGTGGCCTAATTCAATGGACAAGCCATAGTGGCCTATCTTACTTAGGCCAGTATGGCACCTCAAATTTAGATCACAGACTAAAAACCATAACAATGATTATGCTGCCATCTAGTGAAAATTCGTTTTATCACTTTTAGGCCTTTCTGGTTCTATCAAAATGATCAATTTGAACTGGAAAAAATCATAAACTCAATATTGTAAAAAAATGAGTTAGGCCACTATGGTTCTCATGGCCTCAATTAATCTTATTGTAATAAGCCCGTGCGTAACATTCCTTTCAATAATTTCTCGAATTTATGTCAAAAACAAACTATTGTGCAATTCTACGTATAAAAAAAGGCGACGTTGGCTCATAGTATAAATGTTTATTATTAGCTAATATTTTGGAATTATTTAGGCGATATGAAATATATTTAATGTTATACACGAATTTATTGTTTTATTTCTAGAGAATATAATTTGATTATGAAGAATAGAATAAGAAATATTTTTTGCGACCAACGGGCGCCATCTGTTGACAATATTTTACACTATTGTAAGTGTAACCCATCCACCAAATAAGTATGAAATCTACTAGTACTTAAAAGTATCAATAGATGGCAGGTCAGGACAGCGCCATTTATAATCCAACCTTGGTACTAATAACTCGTTAAGTAAGCTAGTCGATTAGTTAGTACTACTATTCGACACAAGATGTCAGTAAAAGTTTTGCATTAGTGCGACTACTCAATGATAGATGGCGCTGTATTTTGCGAAAAGTCTAAAATTAAGAATGTACTAAATAATACACAACTGACTGCTCACTTCAGTTGTATAGAGATGGTAGTATGTTGTCAACGGCTTTTTTTTAATTATTGACCTTAACATCACCGCCTTTTTGTTGTTCTCGTCGACTTTAGGTTACATCATAAGCACTAATACGGCTAAAAACACATTTAGCTGTATAAACGCGATTGATTTTTACGCACATATAGATTACAAGTGTCATTTTTTTTTAAAACTGTTGTTACCGCCGTGATTAGAAGAAAAGGCCGATTAGTCACTGTTTTATTTTTTCTTTGGTTGATACGGTATGAATTGCCTTCGTGGCGGAACGGTTACCATTCTGGACTGCCACGCAGAGGTCCAAGGTTCGGTTCCCGGGCCGGGAGAAATATTTTGGCCTACATTTATTTTTCTCATGTGTTTGGGCGTAATTTGTTGTTGTCTATGTGTGTGTCCATGGCACCCGCGATACGAAGTATTTTTTAAAATTTAATTTCTTTAAATATTATTTTCCCGGTTTTTAGTTTTTTTTATAAACGCCCTTACTATGGCGGCAGTACAGAAAGTAATTGTAGTAAAACAAGCAGATACTAATAGATTAGATGTTTATTAAGCATCTAGATCGTTTTCGCGATTGTTACACGATGGAAATTAAACTATGTTTTCGGATCTATACACATAATGTTTTTTTCAACCAGTCAGCCGTGACCATGGACTGGAAAGAGCCAGAAACGTTGGTTTGTTTGAAAAATCAATGAACGAAAAATAAGCGATGTAGATCCGGTAAAACAGTTTCAGTTACTATTTTTATTTATTATTTATTTATTGAACGTGGGCTGTAAAGCCATCAGCTTAAAAAGGTAACAATTAATTATTAAGAAACTAAAAACGTATGAAACTTATAGGTACTGAAAATGAATTCATTTATATGAATGGTAATTATAAAAGCCCGCCACTTTTTCTTTCTTTTTTGCCAATTTGTCATGTTTCATTTCTTGTGTTTGTTATGTTTTTTTTCTTTACTACTACGATCATACCGTACAGAACGTACAGTTTGACGGTATTTAAATATTATAGAATTTTTTTATCTCGGATATTATTTTGATATCTCCGTGTCATTAATTTCGAGAATCTAAATCTAAAGAAAATTCGAAAATCTAACGATATTTGACATTTTCGAGACTTTTTACTGATGTTTTCAGTCTCGGGAATATCGTGACCTTAGAAACATATGTCATTTAATTTAATTAAACAGTGTTAAAAATCTTTTTTTTATTTTTTATGTAACAACATTGTAGAGTGGAACTAAGCACAATCTTTGGAGTTTTTTTATGACACCAAGATGGCGGGGTTTTTGTTTCAAAATACGAAATTATTTACACTAGTATATTAAATTTTGGGTTTTTTCTCTATTTGTTGAAGAATTATTAAAAAAAACCTCGAAATTTCGTGGAATTACATCTATTTGCCAAGTTTTATTGGAATCGGTTACCAGAAAGTGCACGATATCGGATTCGTCATCTAGTTTACCAGCCTTACAGATGAAATATTTTCTTCAAATTTTTTTTCCCTCTTTCGAATAAAAAAGTCGAATTTGGTTCACAGTATAAAAAAATACAGTCGAATTGAGAACCTTCTCCTTTTTGAAGTCGGCTAAAAATAACATAAACACTCTTTGTTTCTTGCGTGCCCGCTATAAAAATGAATAAAACTTTCATAAATAATTTTTTATTTTATAATTTGACTTAATAAGGAACTTGATTAAAATCTCAAATTTTGGCTGCGTAAATGCTTACCCCATAAAAATGGAAACTTTGAGAGTCTACACAACCTCAAATGGCTTCGGTTGATTCCTTACAACAGTGAAAGTGAATAAATCACTTTGGAAAAAAATATATAGTAAAGTTATTATATTAATACGGTGTGAAAAAATTATGGGAAAAAAACACAAACTTGCCTCGACTTTTTACAAGAAAACTTCTGTATTCAATAGGTACTCTACATATACCAAGGATTTTTTAAAAACAGAACTACATAGGACACGTATAGTATACGAAATACATTTTTAAATGCCATGGGATGAAATAATTGCCCGTGGGCCACCTAGGTGGTTGCAATAAATGATATTCTATTTATGATACCGCGGGACGGGATGAACAAGTCGCGCGCCTGATGGTAAGCGACACGCCTGTCCATAACAGTTGCAGTGCCACTCAGAGCTTTAAATCACAGAGATCTGAGGGGCACTGCCACTGCGCCCGTCACCCTGAGACATAAGTTGACAAGTCCCATGTGTCTGTAATTCCACCAGGACCCTTACACTTTAAAACTGGAAGACAGTAATGCTGACTACGGCTTGACGGCAGAAATATGTAAGGTGGCCATTTGTCGGGTACTGTGGAAGTGTAGAAAATACACTTGTGTTTCTATGAATTATGAATAAAGCATAATGTTAGTTTTATAGAAAATTATAGTTAATGTTTCGATTTTGTTGTAAAGTTTTTGGATTGTAATGGATATTTAGTTATACAGGGTGGAAAAAATCAATGGGACACGAGGGGAAAGATGGCTAATTTTACTTAAAGCATTTAAAGGAAACATTCTTTTATTGTTTTTCTTAGAATAACTGCATTCACAGAAGTTTTTAAAAGCTTGCTTGAACCGGGAATTGAACCAAATACAAATACAAAAAAATACACTCTCACTATTTTATTATAATTTCTTTCAATTAAAGATAACCATGAAATCTTATACCAATGTAATATTAATGTCTATTTGTCAAGTACATGCAGATATAAATCAGTAAACATGTCAATTACAAAATGCAAAAGAATGTTAATTTCTCTTCGTGTACCACTAATTACCCCCATACACTCATCCAAAGTACTACGTTTTTCTAATTACTAACAATCAGGTTTTTTTAATGAAAAATCATTAAATAATCATGAAAAATCATTAAAAAAAACCTTTTTTCCAGTTTTAACACCAATGTTGAATTTAATGTAATTTCATTTTCAAATTTAAATTATAAAATTGATCAGAAAAAGCCATTGGTCTTAAAAAAAAATTAAAATGCCTATTTTTCAGTAATTAGTAAAAACATGCTCGATTTTTAGATACTTTTGATGTGTGTATAAGAAAAAATATGTGGATTGCTATGACGTATTAGATTAGATGACACGGTCAGCCGTGACCAGGGTTCGAAATAATCAAGATGCCAGCTCCTAGGGTAGTGAAAAGTGTCTACATGGGACGTCTTAGTGCTCGACGACTGGTTGGTCACTGAAACTCGTATTGGAGGCCAAGACCGCGGAGAAAGTAAGTAAGTAATTATCATGATAAAATTATCCATACCGATCCACAGTTTCGTCTCTTTTTGTCAATTTAATTTTTGAGCTCTATAAATGCCAAATAGAAAACGGAATAAACACGAAGAAAAGTCTTAGGGAAACCGAACTGGTAACTAACTAATTTAACTTTTATTTTTATGTTACGCGATAACTCCGATTTGTGAACCTATTTGAATGATATTTTTTCTGAGCTTCCTCCTTTTTTTATAAGTCTGTTAAAAATTGTTTCATTTCCTATGTGTATTTTACATGATGCAATAAATCAAATTGAATTAAAATTGAAGTAAAAAACAGTCGCAATTGTCCCGGACTTGTGAATAAGAAAAAACTCAAGTTAGGTACTTTAATATACGACTCGACCGCAGTTTTTAACCGCAGTGATCAAACAATTTAACTTGAATAACTGATGTTAAAGACATGTCATTACTTATCTTACTTATGTACTTAACTGCCGCATCATTTAAACTTAATTATTGCTTACTTAACTTACATGATTACGTGGTTAATGATGTAGTAGGTACAAATTGGATATAAAATATTTTATTTAAGTTTTTTCTTTTTTAACATGTGATCATGATAATATAGATAGATAGAAATACACTTTAATTGCTCACACATTATTATCAACCAATTTACACATTCCACTGCTGTATACGGGTCTCCTCAGGCGAGGGTTGTGATCCCACCCTTTTTATCGCCTTTCTCCGGTTCCTGGCCACTTGTATTTAAATTTTGAATTGTTCTATAGATCTTTTGCCTCGTATTCTGATTTTGTTTCGTTTCACAGTCATTCCCTGCTCGATCGCGACAGCGTACGGACCTGGTTAAAATTCAATCGCGTCTAATTTTGATTCCTTTACTAATTTTATAATCATTAGTAACTGAAATCACGTGCCAATTTTAATAAGTTTATAACCACTACAGCCTTTATCATGTACCTACGAATACGTATCAGTAATTCAGTATAACTCGGCCCTTTTGGGGTAAATGTCTACTTAATATCTAAATATCCATCAAGTTAGGTAGTGTTTGGTAATAATGTACCTGTTTTCTATTTAAACCGTTTACCTTTTCTTCTCTTTAACCGACTTTAAATAAATTTGTGGACCTGAAGTTTTCTGTTTTGCTGCCATATTTGTATGTAGGTACAATCTGCGTATTCTACGCAGACGAAGTCACGAGCACCACCTTGTTCAAACAGTATACAAGTAACATTTCTGTGTTCAAGCTGAACGTATTAAAGACAATTAAGTTCGCAATAAAGTATGAAAAAAAGTCAATAATGAACCGGTCAATTTTAACTTAAGTACATTTGTAAACGTTTATTGGCAATAGCTCTTGCTAATAGTAAATAAAAACAACGTCATGAGACTTGTGTATTGAACATGTTTATAACTTTAGAAAATATAATATGAAGTTCCTAAGTTGGCATGCAGTTCGCGTGGCGTCTGTGGTCTAAATAATAATAATAGTAATAGTAACAGTAACAGTAGCAGTATCAGCAGCAATAGCAATAGCAGTAGCAGTAGCTGTAGCGGTAGCAGTAGTAGTTGCTGTAGCTGCAGCAGCAGCTGTAGCAGTAGCAGTAGCAGCAGCTGTAGCAGTAGCAGCAGCTGTAGCAGAAACAGTAACAGTAGCAGTAGCTGCAGCAGTAGCAGTAGCAGCAGTTGTAGCAGTAGCTGTAGCAGTAGCAGTAAATGTAGCTGTAGGTACAGACTTAAAACTATATTAGTAGTTATATTTTACCACTGACTGTATTATTTATTAAGTGTCGCATAATTGGGCACTCATTCATGTCATCAACTGTCTTCAGGAGTCTATTGGGGTTATTACGTATTCTCTTCAGTAGCGACGCCGACTTTTTTTTATCTACACGCGCGTCAGTGAACATGGCTGAGGCACTGTAGAAATGTGACAGCCCCAACAGCGTACTGAAGGCGTTGTTGTATTGCACGCACAGAGCATTCAGAGAGCACTGAGTATAGCTTTTCCCCAGAGCGCTAGCGTACATTGATGTGCAGTAAGCTCTAAACCACAGAACGATAAATACAGTAGAAGAGCTTAATTTGCATGGCACGTGCGCTAACGGTACGCCAAATACCACTTACTAGCTTAGTAGCAGTAAAGCTCTATTTGCCTTTGTACGCGTAAGTACCTATTTCTGCCGCCAAGCAGTAATAATGTGAGCATTATTTCGTTCCAGTTTTGAAAGGTAAGGGTGGTGGTTAAATTATAGGCACATGGGACTTGTCATCTTACGTGTCAGGTCGATAGGCGCAGTGGCACTGCAACTGTTATATAATATCGTTTATTAAAGACAACAAGGCCCACTTTGTATTAGTAACAGACTTATAAACTATGTTAGTAAATTATTTCTAACTTAGATCTAGTACAATTTATGAGGTGCCTCATTAGAGGCCCCTCATAAATTGTTCCCCATCATTTTGAGGATGCTGTTGCTACTGTTGCGAAGTCTGTTCAGCAGAGAAGCTGATTTCTTTCTTATGATTGCTGTGAAAGAATCCGTCCGCGCCTCAGCAAACATGGAAGAAGCGCTACAGA